CTCTCTACTACTACGTACTACGTACGTACTACTACTACTACTACGTACTACGTACTCTCTACTACTCTCTCTACTACTCTACTCTCTCTCTCTCTACTACTCTCTACTCTCTCTCTCTCTCTCTCTCTCTCTCTCTCTCTCTCTCTCTCTCTCTCTCTCTCTCTCTCTCTCTCTCTCTCTCTCTCTCTCTCTCTCTCTCTCTCTCTCTCTCTCTCTCTCTCTCTCTCTCTCTCAACACTAAACTCCCCCTTCCATTCGATATCCCTTTTTTTTTTCAATTCATATTTCTCAACATTATTGCAAACCCCCTAAAGACATCATCTTGCAAACATTTTCCCAAACTTGCAAACCCTTTCTATTCTCTCTCTACACATCTTTGTAAACTTTACAAATTTGTTTTCCTGATAGCCAACTCTCACTAACGTCCAACTCTCTCCCTCCATTGCTTTTTCTCTAAGATATCATCCTCCCTCCATCAAGCAATATTATATTTTATCTCTAATAACCATATCATCCAATCATCGCTTTTATATACCCAATTTTTCAAAAAAAAAAAATCTAAATCCACTCTCTCTTGCCCTCTCATCAAATATCTCTTTGTTCCAATGGAAACTTCATCCTCATCAAACAAGTATTTCTATCCCTCCACTCTCAATATAGGAAACTTTGTGTCTATTAAATTGAAAGAGAACAACTACTTACTATGGGAAACTCAAACTGTGTCTTTGAGTGAGAGTCGGGAACTTTTTAGATTCATAAATGATGATTGCCCTCCATTAAGTCAAAAGATTCACTCTTTTGATGGTAAAAGTGAAATCGAAAACCCAGACTACATATCATGGCTAAAGTATGACTAGCTTCTTAAAGCCTGGATCACAGGGACATTATCAAAAGAGTGTTTTAGCCTTGTTGTTGGCGTTAAAACTTCTGCAGATGTTTGGAAATTCTTTAAGAATACCTATGCAGGTAATTTTCAAGCTAGGGAGTTCCAACTTACCCAGCAACTCCAATTCTACAAGAAAGGGAATTCAACTCTATCATAATATATATGCAATTTCAAGAGTATTTGTGATGATTTGGCAGCCATTAGAAAACATGTACCAAATGAAAATAAGGTATTTTGGCTTCTTAATGGACATGGTCTAAAATATGAGACTTTTTCTACCGTTATGCTTAAACCTCTGACTCCTTCGTATTATAAAATTATACCTCTTCGTCAAAGCCATGAGATTAGAAATCAGCCCCATGTCCTTGAAGAACACTTAGATCTAAATCGAAATATGGCTTTTATTGGACAACAAAAATACTTTGTACCCAATAAAGGTAACCAAAATTACAGAGGTAGAGGGAGAAACAACTTTGGTGGTCAACAGTTCTTCAACTCTCGAGGACGTGGATTTATTCAAACTAGTCCAATCAGTAATGTGGGTCGTGGGGTGCCCAAGAAAAATCAAGAAAGTGGTGTTACACTTCTTATGCGACACGACTTCCAACAAGATTATCAGATATAATAGTGAACACGGACATCTCGAGAAAAGTGTCAAATTTGTGGGAAATTTCCACATAGTGCATTAAAATGTTTACATCGATTCAACCAAACCTACCAAGCAGAAGATACTCCTTAAGCCTTTCCTTCAATGGCTATAGTTGATTCACAAGACTCAAAATGGTTCTCAAACACAGGTGCCTCCACTCATATGACAAAGATATAAGTAAGTTGCAAAATCTTCGTCTCTATAGTGGTACCGATATGGTTATGGTTTGGGAATGATAAACAATTAACTATTTCACATGTTGGTGATACAAATATTTGATATTGGGTCAGAAAATTCAATGCTTTTAATGTTCTTTTGGTACCTGAAATGAAAAAGAACATGTTAGTTCTCGTCAAATAGTTTTCTGATTAAGGAAATGAGCATAGGGAGAACTCTGGCCAGTGGGAGTAGAAATGGAGGATTGTATGTATTTGAAGAAGTGAAACAAACTTTATTCTCTAGTCGGAATAGAAGAACATTAGAAGATGTGTGGCATCAATGTCTTGGACATCCTCAAAATAAAGTTGTTCGTTATTTAGAATCTAAATAGTTGATTAATGTTGATGCATGGAATAAATCGCATTTTGTTTGTGCTGGTTGTCAGATGGGAAAAAGTTATAAGCTTCCTTTTAGTGGTACTGGTAAAACCTCTACTAAACCTCTTTTTAAGATTCATTCAGATTTATGGGGCCCTGCTCCAATTTTATCTAAGCAGAGTTATCGATTTTATGTGGTGTTTGTTGATGATTATACTCGTTTTACTTGGATTTATCCTTTGAAAAAAATCTGAATTTTTCAGCATTTATGAAATTTCATCATATGGTTGAAAGGAGATTTGATAAAAGAATTCGAGTTTTTCTATGTGATGGAAGTGGTGAATTTGCTAAGAAAAAATTTATTGGAATCATGCAACAATTATCATGTCTTGGAACTCCTGAGCAAAATGGAATAGCTGAAAGGAGACATAGAAATATTGTCAAATTGGGTATTACAGTAATATTTCATGCAGAAATTCCTAAATATTTTCAGGTTGAAGCATTCCATACTGCAGTATTTGTTATCAATAAAATTCTCTCTACCAATTTAAAAATGGATTCACCATACTTACATTGTTTGGATGCTTACCAGACTACTCATCACTTTGAGTATTTGGTTGTCGATGTTTTTCA